TTTATAGTGACTTCTTGTCCAGATACCAACTTCATGCGTAGATATGTTTTACTTACAGACATTTTTGTTTACCTCTGACGTCACAGGCTCTTACATTCATATAGTGACGTCACGCACAAATATTTTTGTTTACCTCTGACGTCATAGGCTCTCACATTCATATAGTGACGTCGTGAACAGATAATATTTTTATCTATGACGTCAAAGGCTCTCATCTTCATATAGTGACGTCACGCACAAATATTTTTGTTTACCTCTGACGCCACAGGCTCTTACATTCATATAGTGACGTCATGCACAGCTAATCTCTTTACCTATGACATCACAGACTCTTACCCTCATATAGTGACGTCACGCACAGATATTTTTGTTTACCCCTGACGTCACACGCTCCTACATTCATATAGTGACGTCACTCCCCTACATCCATCCATTACAACTGATGATGAAGATCGATATCAAATACTCATTAATCTACTCATCCCCGCGGTTACATAATCAGATATGAGACGCACGAGGTGTTTTGGGTAAATTGTTTAGCCTCAGGGGGTTGACATTACCTCGGCCGCTGCACGCAATTAACAATTAAAAAAAAATAAATAAAAGTCAAATTCGCAGTTATCATGACTTCGTTAATTGTGTAACTTGTAGAGATGATGTGTATGTTTGTGTTTTTCTTGTTTTTGTTTGCGCTTGTATTTTGTGTGTGATCATTTAGGAATGTGTGTGTTTGTGTTTGTGTGTGTGTGTGTGTGTGTCAGTGTGCGTGTGTGTACGTGACGTGTCTGTGTGTGTGTGTGTAAACGATAGCAGGATGAATATCACTCTCAAAATCTTCTAAAACAATAAATTTTCAAGATAAGTGTAGACAGCTGATAGCTGGCAGTGCAGCGAGAGACACGCAGTATATCACAATCACGGTTTCCTGTGTGTTATCTCGGCGGCAGCAAGGATAGCATATACATCTCTCGGAGAAGATTGAGGTTGATGAAGGAAGACAACCAACTACGCTCTCGCTGCTGCTCAATGTTGCAAAACCTACGGCATCTTTGCATTTCGAACCACCTGTGGATATGGCTTCTGGTCCTCGGTTCGTAGGTGTGTTTTGTAAATCTCTCTTCGAACCTCTCCCTAGTCTTTGTCCGATCCAGGTAACCTTGAAAATAAAATAAACACAGTAAAAAAAAAGGTAAAAGTCAAAACAAAAGCATAAAACAGTTCCATTTAAAGATGAGATAACAGTTTCGAAATTCCTCTGGATCTCCCCTTTAACCCCGAAATAGAGAAAGAGAGGAAGGTGTAAATAAGAAAGCAAGAGAGAAGCAACATGGTACAAAAAGGGTACAGTGGAGTATCAACACAGAGCAGCGGAGGCAGGTCAGGTAATATAAGTGTGGGTTGAAATTAGTCCCAACAGGTAGGAGACTATAGAATCTACTGTAGTGGTTCACAATCGTACCGTATTTTCCTATGAATAAGAAGCAGCCTTGCGGTCGGGTCCGTGAGACAAAACGCAGTTGATTCGGTTCTCTGAAAAGGGATGGATGGAAATTCCTCTTCTTCTGTGGAAAGGCAAAGGCACGGTCTTCCGAATTCATGGAAGGTTATCCACGGTGCAATCCGATTCGCTGTAATCTGTATGCATTCTACAACATCTCCCACGCAGCAGTACAAGTCATCAACATACGCACAACACGAGAAAACTCAGTCAGGGGTTAAAGAACACTAGGAACTTACGACGTATTTTGTATAGCAGTTTCTCTACTTGCATGATTATTGGCAGTCCATCACAAATTCCTAAATCCATATGGAGCACTCTCTCCTTCATTCAAAATCCCATGTTAGTCTGAGGTTTTTTTTCGTCAGCTTAGAAATACAGAAAGTAAAAGAAAACTGTTAGCAGTACCCTGGCGTACGAGCAGCTTTTGCAAGTTTACGAATGGGGATGAATGTAGCCTTTGCTAGCATTGCACTCTCCCTAAAGATCCCGCTGAAAAAAGGGTGTCGATACTGACACTTGCAAACCTGGTAGATCTCTGACAGGTTATATGGAAACTCTGCTGGAGCCCTGCTCAGAAAACGGCACAGGGCTGGCTTCCGTTCGGCCCAAAATGGAAAAGTACCAAGAGCCTGAAATTCAGCCAATACCGGCATAGCATACCCCCTTTATTTCCTTTTACCGCCAGCGAGTAATAATAATGGACACACATACACACGCTCATGCATACACACACGCATTGATTATATATGTATGTGTGTGTGTTTGTGTGTGTATGTATGTATGTATGTATGTATGTATGTATGTGTGTATGTATGTATGCATGCGTGTATGTATGTATGTAGGCAGGTAGGTAGGTAGATAGGTATGTACCTACATATATGCATGTACGTATATACATATATAAAAACGCAAAACAGTGACGAAAAAAAACAGAACATGGAAACAGATAAAGCAAGAAGTACACCCACATGAAGTCCCGTTCCTAAGATGCTTGCAACA